CTTTAAAAGCTTGTCTTTAAGTCGGAACAGTCAGTTGGTTTGTCTTGGTCCTTTGGGTCATACCTTTCCTCAGATGTCTGCTCCTCTTTTCTTTTGTAAACATCTTTGTTTCCGTTTTCCTGTTTTTAGGAAGGAAGGGCCAGGCAGACATGACAGTGTGGCTTCCCTTCAGAGTTTGGGAGGCAGTTTGCTGGTGGCTGTGAAGGTTCGCAGAGACCTTCCTGGCTTTTGGAGGTTGGCTAGATAAAGAGGCTGTCGAATGATAAAATAAATTGATTTTTTTTTTTCCTCAGATGTCAATGCTTTAGAAGTTCTTAGATAAATTGTTAAGTTCTTTAGAAAAACTCATACTGGCCTTTTGGCAGAAGATAGATGCTAATGTGCGTGTCTCTTTAAGAAGGAGAACGTGTGGGATGCGGAAGGTAAAGGCCAACTGACACCTGTGACTTGTCCTGTTCAGATTCCTTTTCAGTCCTGTTGACTTGAATTCTTGCAAAGATCAGCTTTCGTGCCCACGTGCTGTTCCTCCCCTCATACTCTGGCTGACGGTGGAAACTTTCCTTGACTTTTCTTTCGTTATGCTTCTGTCTTCCCTGTGCTCTCAGAATGGTCCAGTCTGCGGCCCGCCAGTGACTCCCTTCCTTCGCTGTTCCTGGCGTAACTTTTTTTTGTACTTCTTGTTTGCATCTTCAGTTGGGTGTCCAGAGGAAGGTGTGGTAACTGTCTCTTCTGGCACTAGTCTAAAACTGTAAAAATGTAAGAATTTATACTTTAGTTTTTTTTAAAGCTTTACTTGCAAGGCAGAGTTAGAGGAAGGGAAAGATTTAGACACGGATTAATGTTTCCTGGTTCATTCCTGAGATGGCTCCCGTGGCTGGGGCTGGGCCAGGCTGAGGTCTCCCATGTGGGCAGCAGGGGCCATCTTCTAATCTACTGCTTTCCTCGGTACGTTGTCAGGGTTAGAACAGTGCTCCTATGGCATGCTGGCATCGTAGGCAGATTAATTCACTGTGCCACCATGCCAGCCCCTTTGGGTCCTGTAGCTTCTCAACCGATCAGTGTACTGTGTACTGCCAAGTCTTTTTCCTCACTCACATTGATCAGGTTGCTATGGTATGCTACGTGGATTCTGTTGGAGCCTCCAACCTGCTTTCCTTGTTCCTTAAATCCAGTTCCTATCCTGTAGCCACAATAATATTAAATAGAAACCTCAATTTGTTATTTCTTAAATTTTTTTTTCATTTAATCTGTTTTTGTATAGCCTGTGTTTGGAATTGTGCTTTTCTTATGTGTGTGTGTGTATAAAGATTTATTTATTTTTATTGGGTAGACAGATTTATAGAGAGAAGGAGAGACAGAAAAAGACCTCCACATGCTGATTCACTCCCCAAATGGCTGCCGTGCACAGAAATGAGCTGATCTTAACCCAGGGCCAAGAGTCTCTTCTGGGTCTCCCTTCCACGTGGTTACAGTAGTCCAAGGATGTGGGCCATTGTCAGCTGCCTTCCCAGGCCACAGGCAGGGAGCTGGATGGGAAGTGGAGCAGACAGGACACAAATGGGCATCCATATGGGATGCTTGCACTTGTAGGTGGTAGGTTAGCCATTTGACCCATTGCACTGGTCCCAGTTTTCATATTTTCATTTATCAAGATTTGAGAATTTGCCATGTAGAAGGAGAGACAAATCACCTTCTTCCAAGAGTTTTCAATTACCAAGACTGGTGGTGCCACATGTGTGGTAAGAGTGTTGGAAAAGATGTATTATTCATATGATGAAACTGTGGAGAGGAGAACAGAGCAGGCATGCAAGCTGGTCCAGAATGGGTTGTGTGAAGGGAGGAGAGATGCCTCTGGTTTTTGTTGTGGGTGGGCCAGGTTGAGAGTTCCCACAGGCAGTCTCAGTTTACCTGATTCAGAATGATCTGAGGCTGCCCAGGAAAGTCAACTTTATCTAACATGAAATTTTACTTATTGTAGAAGTGATATGTCCTTGTTGGAGAACAGGTTAGAATAGCATAATGAGCAGAAATGTAAGGAAGATGCTAACACCCCTTTGGCATATCACCTTGCAGATGTCATCGAGCTGTGTGTAGGCGATCTGCTGCTCCACCCTCTGTCTCACGGAGTGTCCTTGTGTACAGTGAGATAGGTGTCTGAAATGGCATGTGTATGGCTTTATTGTGAGAATCAACTTGAGGCACAAATTTGGGTGTTTTCCCTCATCCTTCCCACTTTTCCCCCATTCTTAACTTGCTGAGGTTGTTTTTACTGTTGAGTGGGCTTTCTTAGTAAGTCTGTAAGTACTTATCGTGTCTTTGTGATGACAGCATTCAGAATCCTCTCTCTGTAGACACTGTGGCATACGTGATTAATTACTGCCGGCCGCGCGCACTTGCGGTGAAGTAGGAGATTGGAAGTTGTTTTCTGTCCTTCTGCACTCTGAACCTGTTCACATTTTCCCCTTTGCATTCCCTCCTTTCTGAAGCCTCTAGTAACCAGTGTTCTAACCTCTACTTCTATAAGCTTTTTTAGTGAAGCATTCTTTTAAAGAGAAAATCACCAGAAAAACCCAGTGTTTTTCCCCCCAAGCTAACACCTTCCCATGTACTTACGAATCTTTTCAATGTCTTTTTAAAGAACTGACTATTCTATTGTATGACCATGCCATTACTTTCTGTGTGGCCTTTTTTTTTTTCTAAATTTATTCATTTTTATTGGAAAGGCGGACATACAGAGAGGAGGAGAGACAGAGCGGAAGATCTTCCGTCCGATGGTTCACTTCTCAAGTGAGCGCAATGGCTGGAGCTGAGCCAATCCAAAGCCAGGAGCCAGAAGCTCCTTGGGGTCTCTCATGTGGGTGCAGAGTCCCAAGGCTTTGTGTCGTCCTCAACTGCTTTCTCAGGCCACAAGCAGGGAGCTGGATGGGAAGTGGGGCCGCCGGGACTAGAACCGGCAACCACATGGGATCCTGGTGCGTGCAAGTCAAAGACCCTAACCACTACGCTATCGCACTGGGCCCATGGCCATTTTTTTGTTGTTGGACACTTAAAGTATTTCCAAATTTTGCCATTCTGCAGTGACCATCCTTACACATCGTGTCCATTTGTTTCCAAAAGAGGACTTCTTAGGCAGGAAAAAAATTGTTTTTTTAAAGAATGCTTCGGCTGAGTTTTAATAATCTGATGTCTAGAAAATGTATGGATGTGTTCCTGTCCACTGTATAGGTTCTTCTCATTTGTAAACAATCAGCATTGTATTACCATTCTCCTGTATTGTATTCGCTGATCACTTATTGTATGCCTGTGAATTGTTCTTATACTCTGCCAGCTTGTTATGTTTTTCTTATATTGCCATGCTTGTGAATTTTCTTCAGTTTTAAAGACCACATGAGTAGTCTTTTTAACAGAAAGTTTCAAATAAATGTGGAGTTTTTTCATAATATGCTTGCCCACAAGCTAAAATGCTAATTTATTTGAAGATCATGGACTGGGGGCGGGGGGGAAGGAGGGAAGAGGAATTGCTTTTGTTTGCTGGGTTATCCCCAGATCCTGGGGCTCGGCCTTGACCTGAGTCTCCTGTGTACGTGGCACTTACTCAAGCATCTGAGCCGTCATTTGCTGCTTCTCAGGTGCATGCTGGGACTCTGGCTGCTGACACAGACTGAACTAGCAGTCAAGCAGGGGATGCTGGAACAGGTCCTCCTCTTACAAGAGCTTCTTTTCTTTCTTTTTTAAAAATACCATAATGTAATAGCTGGGTATTTTAAAAATTTGAGAACTTGTGTTCTGTTTACCAGAAACATTTAAAGAAAGGTCTTAAGTGGTGTGAGTTTCTAGACTGAAAGATTCACCAGCGAGCTGCAGGTAAAACTGAGGACATTATCTCCAACTTAGTGGCTTTTTTTTCCTTTTTAATAATCCACATATTAAAAAAAAACATATTTATACTTGTTTGAGAGGGTTCTAAAGAGAGAGGAGGTAGACAGGCAGCTAGAGAGGGATTTTTCATCGGTCGATTCATTGTCTATATGTTCACAGTAGCCAAGGCTGGGCCAGGCCGAAGGACCCAGTCAGCGTCTCCCTGCCGGTGGCAGGGAGCTGTCACCTACCTGGCAGGATTCTCATGGAGCGGAGGCAGGGCTTGACCCAGGCTCGCAGCTGGCGGATCCAGGGGTCCAGGTGGTGCCTTCATTGCTGCATCAGTTATCTTCCCCAGCCTTTATTTGACATTAGGCATTAGAACAAGAGTGAAATAAAGCGCTTCTCTTTCTTAGGAAAGATGATCTGGATAGTAAAGTTGGAAATAGAACATGGTAGGGAGTGTATGCATTGATTTGATTAGTCTAGTCCTTCCATAGAAAAAGAACCTGTTGAGTCAAACCAAGGCATGCTAGGGTGCTAATGGTGCTCGGTTGGAGGTGGGTTTGGCACATGGAAGACATGGAATAGTCTCGTCTTCAAAGGCTTGTTGCATTATTTTGTGTAAGTGGTTCAGTTGCTAAGAACACATTGTTCTCCACCAAATATGAGTACATGTTGAGTGATTCACTATGTTTGGCCATTTGTTGTATCAATAAAGTAGTTGAAAAGTGTGAACTCAGAGGCTGTTCTGGCCAAGTTTGATCAAATATAATACCAAAATCATATTAATACCTGACTCAGGATTATTTTAATGCTTAAACAAGTGAACTAAACGTTTGTAAAATGCTTGGAACAATAGCTGGCATATTAGCCTGGTGTGTTTTGTTTTGATTTACTTTGTCTTGTTCTGGATTTGTAGTGAAACACGAATCTGTTGGGGTAAAATAACCAGAGGAAAGATGATGAGGAGAAGGATGTTAACCAGTGGCTTCACAGAAACCAATTGATCTTCTGTTTTTGAAATGTATAGATTTTACATTTTTCCGGGGTGTCATACGTTGATGCTTCAGAACTGCCGTCTAGATTGGTAACTCTTCCTGTGAGCTGGGCTCTAGCGTTCTTTGCTGCTTGGTTCACAGGATATTCTGAATAACCTTGACTCCTGCGACCTCGAGGATGATGATCTCATGCTTGATGTGGACCTACCTGAGGATGCACCGCTGGAAGATGGTGAGTTGGGCCCTGTGCTTGAGCCAGGCTCATGTTCTCAGGAACTGACAGGATTCTTCATCGCAAAGGAGCCATGCAGATGGTTTCCAAATTCTGCAAGATAGGTTCGTTTTCAGAATACCCCCAGTACTTAAAACCGGATTCTGTGAGTTTTGGATATAATTTCTATACCGTAAAGTAGAAGATTAAATTTGCTTATTTGGCCATGTGCACACTGTTTGCCCTCCTCTTATCTCATTTACATTTTAAGAATATATTTAGAGAAGCATCGTTTGATTTATATAATGTATTAATTTAATGTATTTAAAAGAGCATTTTTATTATAAAATATATTCATGTAATAAATTATATATCATATAAAGTATGATTTCATATGATAAATATATATTATTTGAATATATACATTTATATACAAATATATTTTATGAGTCAGTTCTTGGGGAATAGTGGTGGATTTGAACCGTGGTTGTAAGTTGTAGAGTGCTGCTTTTAACCTGTGTGCTGCCTCTGTCTACCTTTTCTACCCAGTGGTGACCTTCTGAATAAATCATTCTGTTTCTTTCCACTTCTGATTCTCATCTGTCTTCCTTCTAGATCTCAGTAATTGCTGGAGCAAGGCTTTAGATGATCTGTGTACAAGATGGGCCCGCTTCTCTTGCTCCAGTGGCACAGTGTGTGTAGGGCTTTCTCTCGTAGAGACTGGTAGAGAGCCAGAGATCAACATGGGAGCCCCTGGAGCAAGGCTTGCAATGGAAATTCTTCTGAGAAGAGAAATGTCCTTGGAGATCTGAGGATTCTCTGCCAATCATGTTTGTCTAGTTTGCTGAGCTTCACGTGGGTCAGGGATAAACTACTAAGGGTACATGGAGTCCTTCCTAACCATGGTGCTGGGAAAATGCCAGATATTTCCAAGTCGGGCGATCTATTTTTTTTGCCCTCTCCAGTAACATCCTTTTCCTCGTCATCAATCGGGAAATAAATCAAAATAAGTTTCCAAGATGCAGCTGTTCACAGAGCGGTTGCAGTGCTATTTGGGACACCTGCATCCCTTTTTCAGAGGGCCTGGGTGCAAGCCCCAGGTCCTGATTTCAGTTCCCTGCTAATATGCACCAGGAAAGACAGCAGGCGATGGTTCAAGTGGTTTGGTTCTTGCTGCCCTTGTGGGAGACCTGCATTGAGTCTCTGGCATTTGGATTTGGCCTGGCCGAGCCTGGCTGGTATGGATGTGGGTGGGAAGTGAACTAACAACAGAAGATCTCTCTTCCTCCCTCCTTCTCTCTCTCTCTCTCTCTCTCTCTCTCTCTCTGTCTTCTGCCCACTCTGCATGTGTCTGTCTCACACTTGAACACTGAGCATTTAGGTGTGTCTGTCTTTCAAACAAATAGCACAAACACTCACATGTTTTCAGTCAGATAAATGAAGAACAGGACAATAAAACTAATAGAAAATAAGCCCTCCTCAGCAGGTAATACCATACATGGAGTATGATGGTGTCAGCGATGAAAGTGAATCCAGAGGCATCCCAGTTAAGCCCATGTGTTGCTCTGCAGGCCAGGTTTGGCCCTAACCATGAGCTGAGGATTCCCCATTGAAAGACAAGTTCAGGGTCTTTGGCTCTGGGATGACAAGACAGCAGAGCGAGAAGCTCTTGTATCAGGTCAGAGAGCTAACACAGGACTTCTGTGTAACTGAGACGTAGGCGATGGAAGAGTGCCTTCGTCTAATACTCATCAAACCAGTCTTCTGATTTCATAAGGGAACGGAACATTGTCCCAAAAGGCTCCCCAGCTGCTTCTGCTATAAACCTTCTAGTGCCGAGAAGGTGAGGACACAGGCAGTACTTCCATCTGAAAGACGGCAGGAAGAGAGGCCGACCCACAGAGACTGTGCAGAGCACAGACCGTAGGAAGTGCCACAGCTGAGCAAAAGCTTTAATTACAACGTAGTTTAAAAGAAGAAAAAAAAAGTGTTTAAACTTAGTTATTATTGAACACAGTTAGTGTTGGAAGAGAAAGATTAATCTCCAGAAGAAAACACGGTGGTTGGAAGCAGTCAAGGCCATTATTTTTCTCATGGATCTTAACAAAATTTTAGCAAAAATGTGGCCTTACATTTCAATAAAGAAAAGTTCAAACCAAATACCTAAACGACTAACAGAAAAGCTACAAGGGTGCATGCCATGGAAAGTCAGGGCCCTGACAAAGTGCCAAATCTCAGGCTTCCCTCTGATGGCAAGGAGTGGCTGGTACAAATTCCTGACCAAAGGGATAAAGAAACACAGCTATGCTTCTTACGTAACAGTTAAGCAGAGAGCTTAGACCAAAAGAAGCAGAGAAATTCCCAAACTACTTCCTTAGAAAGTCCTTGGAGGGTCCGGCGCTGTGGCCTAACGGCTTAAGTACTTGCCCTGAAAACGCCAGGATCCCATATGGGCGCCGGTTCTAGTCCCAACAGCCCCGCTTCCCATCTAGCTCCCTGCTTGTGACCTGGGAAAGCAGTCGAGGACAGCCCAAAGCCTTGGGATCCTTCACCCATGTGGGAGACCTGGAAGAGCTCCTGGCTCCTGGCTTCAGAACATCTCAGCTGAGGCCATTGTGGTCATTTGGGGAGTGAGCAAAACTATCTTTCTCTGTTTCCTCTTCTATCTCTGTAAATCTGCCTTTCAAATAAAAATAAACATTTTAGGAAAAAAAAAAGAAAAGAAATATAGAATCCCAGAGATGAGGCAGAGTGAAGATCTGAGCCATCCCAATTAACGTATTTTGGAGAGTAACTTGCACCCAGACCCTCTGAGAAAGGGATGCAGGTGTCCCAAGTAGAATTGCAACTGCTCTGTGAATGGCTTCATCCTGATTGCAATTCCTTTGCATTCTCTCTTCTTTTCAATATTATTGCTTTCATTCTTCTTCTGGTCTCTTTCAGAGAAACCACTGCTAACATTATTTCACATAATGTTCATGACATTTTATTTATTTATTTTTTTCATTTTACTTTAGTTTTTTGATAATCTTAGTTACTTAGGGTACAAAGGGTCAAGGGCTACTGGGAAGTGGGTAATACCATTGTTTTCACACTAATATCTGGGGTCAGGGTAGAAATAAAGGGGAAGGCCCACCCAGCCTCCCTCCCACATGACATTTTAAAGTATTTAAACATTACATGAGAGTCTGCCTGGTGTGCTCCTCCAGTATGGCAGCGGTCATTTCTTGTTTTAGCTACTGTTTCAATTTTAGCGTTAATCTTTTAGTGTCTTAGTGTCAGATAAATGTTACATGCCGTTATGCTCTCTTGGTGGAGTTAAAGTTTCAGTAAATACCCCTCAGTTTTGGAGTCTGCATGTGGTGCAGGCGACCTCCCTCCGGGGAGCACAGAGTGTCTGGCAGTTACTGTGGTGTAGTTCCTACAGCATCTAACGTCTCCTGACTGTGCCTGGTCCCTTTGCTGCCTGCTGTCCGTGCCCGCTGCCTTCTCCTGCTGGACAATGTACCAGGTGGTTCTTAGGGCCAGGTTGCTTGCCTTGGCGGTGAGTAGGATTTCTCCTGCCTCGATTAAGGAGACATAAATCAGAACATTTAAAGGTAGATACATATTGTCATATAGTTCTAAGTGAAGTGACCTTAAGCCACAGAGAAAAACTTGTGGGACTTAACTGAGTTCCATGAATTGAAATAAATGTGAATTCTTTAAAAAAAAAAAAATGCTACCAAATGGACTAAGCTCAAAGCAGTTTTAGCTTTTCTTAAGATTATTTTAAAGATTTTCTTGGGACTGCATTTTGGCACAACGGGTTATTGTTTTTGCATTTCCATTTCTGGTGCTGCCTCCTCTGCCTCTGATCCAGCTTCCTGCTCAGTGCCTGGGAACGCAGTGGCTGCTCAGGGCGTGGGTACCTTCCACCATGTGCGAGAGCAGGATTGAACTCCTGGCTTTGGGTGTTACCCAGGTCCAGCCCTGGCTGTGGCTGAGAGTGAAGCAGTGCCTGTGCCTCTGTCTCCTGCCTTTCACATAAATAAATAAACCATAAGCATTTTATTTTACTTTCTAGTTGAATTTTCTACAGTCTTTAAAAAAAAGTAAGTTCACCATACATGCCTTTAACTGTCAGATTTTGTGTAAGTGAATGTAAAAAAATCTTGACACTTCTCAGTATGAAAGCTTGCATTTTCAGAAAATGTCTGAAATAATTTCAAATGCAAGGCTTCTTTTAAAATGTTTTTTCTAAAACTGATTTTTATTATTAAGCTGTTAAATGTGTATCCCTGCCCCGCCCCCAACCATGGACTTCTGCAACAAGTGGAGACAAATTCAGTGTTCCTGCCAAAAGTTATTTCAATTGCTGTGCAATAAGAGGAAATGAATTAAAAGCAATTCTGTGCATAAGGGAAATCCTTCTCTTGAATGGGAACTTCATTTTCACTTGTATACTAAAATGGAACATGTAGCATATTTATTCCAACTTTGTTTTTGGCTAAATAAGAATTTTTTACTTAGTGATTTTGTAGAAACAAATAAACATGGGGATTACATTGATTTCCAAGGCCTTTTAATCACGGGGAATTCTGAGCATGCAGGACTTGAACTTTCTGGCAGAGTAATTTTCAGACTGGAGAAACCTTTCCTGTTCCGTGGCTTGGGTTAGCGTTCAGCTGTATTTTTAGCAACAGCCCTAACTCAGTCGCTATGTGAGCGGGCGCGAAGATGGAGTCACAGGGCGAACTGGGCTTGCTTCCCACAGGGAGGGCCGGGGAGGCTGAGCAGGAAGGAAGGCCTGTCCAGCAGGGCCTTCGATGCAACTATGTGTGAGTAGGCAGCCGCAACACAATGTCTCCCTTGTACAAAGTAACTCTCTCAGTGAGTGCTCCGATATGTGAGGAAAAAGTGTTTGGGTAAGTCAAAGAGAAGCTTGGGCTGTTCCAGAGAGATTCTTTGCGCATTTTTTGTGGCATTTGGATTTCAGTCAGTGGGAGTGTGCTGTTTGTTGCTGCAAAGTGCCGGCTTTGTTTTCAGCAGCGCTTTAGACTTTGCTGACAAGCTTTTACTGCAGGCAGCCTCTGTAGCGTCTTGCCTTTGGAAAATGTGAGCCTGGTTTAGTGACGAAACGGATTGCTTATGATGGAAAGTTAAGGTTTGCTTCTTGAAATCAGTGGCAGTCATTTGTGGGAATAAGTTCTCCTAAGAATCTTTTCATTTGTATTTTCCCTCTGAAATCAGAACCATTTTTTTTTTTTTTGATAGGGAAGAAACTCTTGCTTGCTGTTTAAAATAGAGAGTGATGGTTCGCAGGATCATCTGCCTGTTCCTAAAGCCAAGTGGCACTCAATTGTTTATGTGATTGGCTGTGATATAAATGTACTGTACTTCAGTATAAAGAATGTAAGCTTTCATTTTCACCAGAAGATCTGATTATTTTTTGTTTGGAACTTTGGTTTGGTGATAGCAAACACCAAGCATACGTGGCTAGTATGTTTAAAATGTTGTTTTTCTGTTTTGGACTTTGTGCCGCATTCGTTAATCATGTGAGATGTAGTTAACTTTGATAGCATCGGTACATGTTTATAGTCTTCTGCTTTTGAATCTGTCTAGTGGAGTGTGACAATATGAACCGTTTTGACCGATCAGACAGAAATATCCGGCCGCCTCAGGAAGGGTTTTGGAAGAGGCCGCCCCAGCGGTGGAGTGGGCAGGAACATTACCACCTCAGCCACACCGAGCACTGTCACCATGCAAAAAGTGACTTGAGCAGGTAAGTGCCATTCCAACTTGGAGGGCATTTTTCTGATTAACTTTGAATTATGATTTTTCCACCCTTCAATGAAGTTCCTCTGGTTTTTGCAGGTACCCCAAAACATTTAAAATTATGTGTGATGTGCATCGTAATACCATCCAGCTCTGTCTTTCATTAGCTTTATTATAAATATAAACTTTGATATCTAGTATTTAAACTTGGAACTTGTCTCATGGCTTAGTAGTGCTTGTTTGGGAGTGATTACGTGTTGACCTTGTTCAGGTTTACATGGGCTCTAAATTATAATGTATGAAAGTGCCAAGTGATTTATAGTTTGAAATTTAAGATTTTTTTTTTTTTAACAAATATCATTAGAAAGAGAGTAAGGCACTTCAAAATGCTAGAAGCTTTTCTGTCCTGCAGTGTGGCATGGTTTCTAACTCAATCCACCTTTATTTGTAGCGGGACTCCATAGTCATTCAAGCCTGACCTGGCACAAACTTTGCAAGGTTGATAATTTGTCTGACCCCGCCCCCCCGCCTGTATGGGTTTACTCCCTGTAAATCATAGCTGATTAACACCCCTCCTCTTCCTGTGCAAGGATCAGCGCTGATAGTTAGTTTGCATTAGGCACACAGTGAAAGTTATCATTCCCTTTCTTTTTCCTTTTCTCTCCCTCATATCATTCCACAAGGTACTTGAGGTCGTTTTAGATCATGTTTATAAATAAATAATAAATTTGGGATAAAGAAATATTGACTGGGAATCATCTAGGATAGTCCCTAAACTGGGGAAAAAATTGTGTTTTAAGATCCTTCATCTGAAAAGCAGAGAACATAGCCATGTTCCAAGTTATACAGTGTGTGTGTGAGGTAAAGGATATGCTGAATTTGTTTGCTCTCAAGAGAACAAGGCATGAGAGGCCGCTTATGTGAGTTCTTAGGAGGCGAATACCCTATGATACGATGGGCAGGCTCCAGACAGCTTCCCAGGGAAGGAAGAGTGATGAACTTACTCTTAGCTGCACTCGTCAATGCAACTGGGACAAATTCTAGTCCAAACGGGAAGAGGCAGCCCCTCCGTGGGTCAGGAAACAGTGGGGTCTAGCTCACGTCCTGCTGCGGGTGGTAGCCAAGGCAAGACTCTCATTGAGATGACCCGGGAGACGTTGGTCCAGGCCTTATGTGGACTATTCTGTTTCTCACCTCTGGGCTTTTCGTAAGGAGTGGACCTCAGAGAGTTGGTGTTAACAGGCAAAAGTTTGATAAACAGATAGCCCTCATTGCGCATAACATGTGTAATCCTTCCTTAATCATTAGTACTTTGTAAAAGATAAATCGAAGGCAGGTTTATAGAACTTTAATAGCCCGACTAAAATGTGAATGGTTCCAAATTCTTAAGATTCACTCATCTGCTTAACAGATACCCATTTGGTAGCCAGTCTGTATGTTGGATACGGCACTGAGTTGACAAGCTGGGATGAGTTTGGAGATGATCTGAGAGCTGAAGGCTGTGTGGATTGGTAATGTCTAGGAACACTGAGTTGAAGATGAGAAAGAAAAATTCTGCAGTGGGTGAACTCAGTGGAACTCTTAGCACTGACTAGTCAGGATGAGATTTTTGTGCCTACACAACAAATGGTTAGTTGTACTTCCTGCTGTAAGACAGTCTAAAAGACAAACATATAGTCAGCCTTCGGGGACTCTAGGGACTTACATAGTAGCTGGTGTTTTTTTCTAGAACAGAGCAGTGTAAAAGAAGTTACTGTTGAACTGAGTCTCAGAGTGTGAGTGCAGAGATAGTAGAGGTGTGATTCTAACAGGAGAAGGCTGGACATCCCTAGTGGACAAATGGCATGTACCCAAGTCGGTAGGAAGAGGCATGGCATTTCGGAGAACTGCTGCTAAGTTCAGGTGAATGAACTGTAGTCCATGATCATTTGGAGGAATGAGTAGACACACTCTCTAACTCAGGAGAGCCCAAGTGTAGCTTCTATGGTTTAAGTTCAAGGGTGGCACATTTCGGTTAAACGGAGGCGTTTTGTCAGATTGTTCAAAATGGAATAAGTTATCTGGAGCTCGTCATCTCTTCTGTGTCTTTGGGCATGATCAAGGCTGATTCTAACAATCTGTCAAAAAACTGTTTCTTGGATGTGAACAGGTGTAGAGAGGAAGGGCTATCTGGTTAAGTATGTGTGAGAATTGACAAATTAATGTCCATTTTAAAAAATAGACCTCATTGTTCCTTTAACATATAGTTAGTTGTAGCACCATGGTTGTTTAAAAGGCTTAAAAGGCATTCTCAAAACCGTTGTTGGTTGTGGTGTATTTTAGAAGACTGGAGATTTTTTGGTAATGCACAGTGGTTGTCCTCCTTGTCCTCCTCCTCTTTCTTTTTCTTTTTCTTTCTTTTAAAGATTTATTTATTTTTAAAGGTAGATTTTACAGAGAGGAGGCTAGACAGAGAGAGAGAGGTCTTTATCAATGCTGATTTGTTCACCAAATGGCTGCAGCAGGCAGAAATGAGTTGATCCAAAGCTAGGAGTCAGGAGCTTTTGCCAGGTCTCCCATGTGGGTGCAGGGGTTCAAGGACTTGAACCATCCTCCTCTGCTTTCCCAGGCTGTAAGCACAGAGCTGGGTTGGAAGTTGAGCAGGTAGGGCACAAATTGGCACCCACAGGGGATGCCAGCCCTAGCAGGTGGAGGATTAGCTTGCTATATCACTGTGCTGGCCTCAATGGGTAACTTTTTGTATATCAGCCACTCATCAGGCTTCAAAGCCTTTTTTTTTTTTTTTTGGAAATGAAGCATCTTTGGCAGTAAGCAGGTGCCTTCTGCTGTGAGGAATTCAGCACTTCCATGAGCACCTTTGCAAACAGCATCCTTTTGCTTTCTGAGAACCCAGCTCTGGCAGGTGCCCAGTGTTGCTTTCTGAGAAACAGTCTGCATACAGGGGTCTTATATGCTGTAAACTTCCTGTCTCCTTTCTCAGCATTTTTACTTGGCTTCTTAGGTTCCAGTCACTTTCATAGTTTACTGTTCAGAGATGGGATTTGTGTTCTCAAAGCTCTTTGTCACTCCTAATGATGTATTTGTAAGTCCCTTACTATGAAGGGCGTGTGGCTGCCCAAGCTCCTCCTTTCTGGTCCCTGCCGATAGTGCAGAGATCTTGGCTCTCATGCTCACTCTCCATCTTCATAATGAGCCTCCTGCAATCCTAAAGGCTCCAGTGTTCACCTTCATGATTCACTTAACTCCCCGACTCCTCAGTTCTTTAGGATTTTCTATACATAAGATGTATCATCTGAGACTAGGCTAACTTGTCCTTTACTGATCTAGATACTTTCCCCCCTCTTGCTTGATTGCTATGGCTGGATACGCCTGGTAGGAGTTGTGAGAGCCAGTAGCTGCATCTTTTGAAACTAGTGGGAAACCACTGAGTCCTTTACCTTTAAACATTATATAAACTGTGAGTTTTTGAAGAGCTTTTTTTGTTGGAAGGATTTTATTTCTATTCCTGGCTTGTTGAGTATTGTAAACCTGTGTTACATTTGTTTAATTAGTTTTATTTTTAAATGCACAAAGAGAGTCCAACAGAGAGCTCCTGCCCACTGTTTCACCCCCTAGATGTTTACAACAGGCAGTGCTGAGCCAGGCAAGAGCCTGGAACTCCATCCCTGTCTCCCAGATGTGTAGCATGGGCTCCTTGGTTCCCAGGCCATCATCTTCTGCCTGCTAGGTCTTCATTGCCAGGAAGCAGGACTTGAAAACCAAGAACTGGGCCCGGCGCCGTGGCGCAAGTGGTTAAGGTCCTCGCCTTGCACGCCCGGGATCCCATATGGGCACCGGTTCTAATCCCGGCAGCCCCGCTTCCCTTCCAACTCCCTGCCTGTGGCCCGGGAAAACAGTCGAGGACGGCCCAAAGCTTTGGGACCCTGCACGTGCGTGGGAGACCCGGAAAGGCTCCTGGCTTCGGATCGGCATAGCACTGGCCATTGCACTCACTTGGGGAGTGAATCATTGGATGGAAGATCTTCCTCTCTGTCTCTCTTCTCTGTATATCTGTCTTTCCAATAAAAATAAAATAAATCTTTAAAAAAAAAAACCAAGAACTGGATCCAGGAACTGTGGTACAGACTGCAGGCATCTTAAATGCCAGCTGAAATACCCACCCTTACATTTCATTTTTCATGTGAAATTTTTTTAATGGTGAGAAACGAAGCAGTAAAGATCTTATGAAGTCAAAATCTCATTGTAAGTGAAAAATTCAGAACAGTTTCCTTTCTGCTGTATCTGTGTCTCAAGGACACACACACACACACACACACACACACACACAGTACTGACCATCTACTCTGAATTACAAACCTTAGCACAAAATAATAGATCTTAGACATTGAGTTCTGCTGGGATTAGGGAAGAGTAAAGCTATCTGTAAATACATGACTATACCTAAGATTTGGAAAGATTACTTTAAAACTAATGAATTATCATTCAACAGTGACACTTTTAGGTTTGTGGGTTGAATGTCAATTGCTATGGATTTAATTTAAATAGCTTAAGAAAAAAAACAAACCCACAACACTTGTCAATGATTCTGTCCTGGATCTTACCTGCATCCTGACTTGTTTACTTGCTGATTGTATTAGAGAACCACCGTTAGGTAACATGAGTGATTGTCAGCATTTTCTTCTTACACTGCTGTAACTCACTTTGGCCTTCACATGTATCTGACTAGTTCAGTTGTCCTGCATGCTCGCTTCCCTAGACTGTGAGTGGTTGGACAGTGCCTCCCGCACTGCCACAGGGCCCATATCCCACTGTCCTCCCATCAAAGCCCCTACAGTCTTCTCTTGATTTCACCATCAGATTTTTCGGCAGGAAAATTGTGATTATTAAACTTTATACACAAGTCCTCATTTGTGTCTGTCAACTGAATGCAGGTGTTATGTATGGTGAGTCATTCCTTTTTGTCTTTTGTTTCGTTTTTTCCCCCACTGTTTTCTGTTTTTCTTCCCGGATTTTTGCCTGCAATCTTGGCAAGTGATTTTACCTCCTGTTCTAACCTACAGTTTCTTATGTGTGAACTGTATCATTTAATTAAAAAAATCACAAAATCTCTGTCTTGCCTTTCTGTCCTGTGTAACCCCCTCTCCTTCCTTTTGTAGTTGCTTTCTTCCCCATCTTTGCCTTTCTGCCCGTTAGCATTTTTCAGTCTTGCTCCACCAAATTCAAGGCTTTCCTGTAATGAAGGTTTTTTTTTTTTTTTTTAAGATTTGTTTATTTTTATTGGAAAGGCAGATTTACAGAGAGAGGGAATGACAGAATCAGGCATCTGCTGTTTAACTCTCCAAGTGGCTGCAGTGCCTGGAGCTGAGTTGATCTGAAGCCATGAGCTAGGAGCTTCTTATGGGTCTCCCACGTGGGTGCATGGTAGCAGGGCTTTGGGCCATCTTCTACTGCTTTCTCAGGCACAAGCAGGGAGCCGAATGGGAAGTGGAACAGCTGGGACAGGAACCGGTGCCACTGTGGGATCCCAGAGCTTGGAGGGGGAGGATTAGCTAGTTGAGCCATTGTGCCAGACCCCTCTAATGAAGCTTTTGTTACTTAACTTTGTGTCAGTATTTTCACAGTTAGTAAATATAAATGAACGTTTTATGGTTGTTCATGGTAGGACTCTTGACATTTTGTTTGAAGCTATCTTCAGTTCCTTTTCTACTTTAAGAAACAAATGAAAAAATTAAATAGAATTGTAATGTGAATGAATAAAAATGTTTAAGTTGCTGTAGCTGTGACTTCTGTTTACAGCATTATATTTTACACTTCCATGAAGCATGTTATCTCTAACTTTCTTATTTAGTGTGTATATTATGGCAAGAAATTGAAGGGAAGAGTAAATATTTTTAAAAATATTTTTTGTTTTGGCTGCTGTTAATTACTCCAAAATATGTGACATATGAGATGTTTGTAACACCTTTGCATAAAAAGGAAAGAGTGATAGCTGTTAGCTGCCTATTGGAACCAAGTAAGTGGGAGACCGAATGAGCATCCCACATCAGTGTGTCATGGGTGGGGACTGTTGAGGTGTGCAGCTGAGATGCCAGGTGCTCCCCGCAGAAAGGGAAAAGTGAGTGTAATTATTCATTCACATCTATGGCCTTTCTGGATATTTGTTTGTTTGTTTACATTCTGGTTCCTAAGGAGGAAACTTTACTTCAGTTTGTAAGTGAAGTACCCAGAAAGATTAGTTGAGGAGGAAGGTAGTGGTTGCAGGAGGTGATTGTTTGAGTTGACAGTGTGCATTTGTTGCACGTGCCAGTGGAAAGAATTACTAGCGGAAGTGAGTGTAAGTCAGAAGCTTTTTTGTGGTATTGTTTAATGAGTTACAGTGATTTATGTAGTAATTTCATTAGCATTTATTTATTTGTTTTCTGAAATTGTACATTTTCTCCCTCCACCTTCTTCTCCTGCCCCTGCAGAGGCTCTCCCTACAGAGAATCTCCTTTGGGTCATTTTGAAAGCTATGGAGGGACCCCCTTTTTCCAGGCTCAGAAGATGTTTGTGGACGTCCCAGAAAATACAGTGATACTTGATGAGATGACCCTGCGGCACATGGTTCAGGACTGCACTGCTGTGAAAACCCAGTTACTCAAACTGAAACGTCTGCTGCATCAGGTGAGTGCGCAGCTGCCATTCGCAGGGCTGCTCTTCAAATTACAGAATGGACTGACTTTTTTGAAGGCTGTGGGATTCTAGTGTTTATTTTGATTTCATAGAAATGGTGCTTGTAAGTGGTTCATAATACAAACTTTCATTGGAGGAAAAGCCATGGGATTTATGGATGTTGGTCCCATTACACGGTCCCTGACATTTATGAGATGCACAATACCTGGTGAGCCAGTCTGCTTCTTGTCTTAAATTTTGCAGTGACTATATTGTAAGGTTGTTGAGGGAATTAGAAATAGCAAATTGAGCATCCAAAGATATGAAACATATATGGCATTGAGTGCTGCTATAATTTCCATGAAGTGGAAGGTAAATAGCAGTTTCAACTTGGGGTCTCTCATCATCACCAATCCTCTCTTTCTCCCTTTCCTCCCTCATTTACCTGCATTAGCTTTTGCAGAATTGTATACAAGATTTTTGTATAGTGGTTAAGTATTTCATTTGGGACATTTTTCTAAGTTCATCTCTGGTCTTTGTAAAGTAGCTGTTGTTGTCTTTGAGTCATAGTTGAGGAAGGTGAGACTTAACTAACTAGGAATTTTCTTTTATACCTATCCGTATGACCCCAAGACCTGGTGCACACAGCGATATTCTAGAAGATGTGGGGAGAGTAGGGTGTCAGGGTAGTTTCCAACACTGAACCATCACTTGTGTGCCATCAACCCAGTCCAGGCTACAGAATCTATGTTTTGCATAATGCTTGAGCAAAGTTATCATTGCACACAATTTAAGAAATTATCAGCTATTTTGTTTGGCATTTGTTTCTATTTTTTATCTGTTGTAATACTTTCACAGTTTAGTACCTTGGGGTACTAATTTCCTCATTGTCACATCACTGCTGTGCATGGGACAGGAATGACAGTAGAGATCCTTTTGTTGCAGGATCACATTCTGTTGTAAATATGTGCGACTTTATCCGTTTTCACCTGGTGACATACTTTCAAGTTGGCTTCCTTGAGATAGCTTTGATAACGTTGTTTTCATATCTTAATGATGAAAGTTAGAAATAGATATAATATCAGAAATCAGAAGTAGTTTCAAGCAATCACGTTTTTTTTAAACAAGTAATATATTCTTTAATTAATTACATTTCATTTTATGGCACAGTTTCATAGGCTCTTGGATTCCCCCAAGCCCTCCCTGTACCCTCCCCCTGGCAGTCACATTTTAATGATCAGAAAACTATGGCTGATTTAATTTGTTTCTCAATTAAATTGTATTCTCAATATGGAATACATTTTATATGCAGAAATTTTTAAGAGAATCATGGTAACTTTTTAAATACTGATTTGAAGACTTGGGGCCATAGTGAACAAATCAGTGTTGTAGTGGTATTTTATGTCTTTTATTTTTTTATGCCCTGTTTCACAAATTTTATTTTGAAGCATAATATATATGCTGAAAATACAGTTCTCCTTTTATAATGCAGAAGAGGAATTTATTGAAGGATATTGAGGGGCAGGTATTGTACTGCATTGGTTAAGCAGGTGTTTTTGACATATGTGTCCCGGTATTGGAGTGTTTGGGATTGAGTTCTGCTTCCATTTATGATCCGGCTTCATTTAAAACAATCTTTGTGATTATAAAGAGAATATATTTCATGTGTGTCATAGGTCCAATTCTGAGAAGATAACCATTCCTTCTTGTTTCCCTCCTCCATGCACCTTCTGTCCTTCCCTCATTTTTTTCTTCAATTTTTATAAAACATAATTTCAATCCATTCTATAAACACAGGCTTACTGCACCACTAACCATAATATTCAACAAATAAAATATAGGGAGACCTCAGTTCTGCAGCAGAACAAATGATGGCCAACAGCAAGATTACAGTATGGTTGTTTCATTCTTATGCTTTTTTTTTTTTTTGGCATCCTGTATTAAATACTACTTTTCGGAAAAAACACAGTATTTGTCTTTTAGGGACTGGCAGTTTTCACTAAGTATATACAAAGGATGCAATTTTGAAATAAAGTGTTTCAGTGACTTATCACAGGGTGAAATGCCTGGGTGGCTAGCACCCAGGAAGAATCAAAACAGAATTCCACTGGTTGTTAAATGCTGACCACCTGACTTTTGGAAAACTTAAGTGAATGTGCTTGTAGCTGATCTTTGAAATGAGATGAAGTCATATACTATAGAAATGCATATTGGGCCCGGCACGGTGGCGCAAGTGGTTAAAGTCCTCGCCTTGCACCCCCGGGATTCCATATGGGCGCCGGTTCTAATCCCGGCAGCCCCACTTCCCTTCCAGCTTCCTGCCTGTGGCCTGGGAAGGCAGTCGAGGACGGCCCAAAGCTTTGGGAACCTGCACCCACGTGGGAGACCCGGAGGAGGCTCCTGGCTTCGGATCGGCATAGTATCGGCCCGTTGCGCTCACTTGGGGAGTGAATCATCGGACGGAAGATCTTCCTCTCTGTCTCTCCTCTCTGTATATCCTCCTTTCCAATGAAAAAATAATAAAAATAAATCTTTAAAAAAAAATGCATATGTAACTTTACTCAACAACTATTTATGCCACTTGTTTTTAACACTCATTCTCAAATTGTGAAGTATTACATTGTGTGGATATACCAAAAATCTATTTTATTTGTTCTACAGTTGATCAGCATTTGGACACATAGGTTTTCTTCCTTCCTGCTCTTCTTTTTTCTTTTCTTCTCTTTCTTTCTCTTCCTTTGTTTCTTTCTTTCTTTCTTGTTATCATGAATGGCACTGCTGTTATAATCTAGCATGTCTTTTGGTATATGGCTTTTTTTGGTGTGTATGTGTCAGTGGAATTGCTGGTTTGTCTTAAGGTATGTAAATAGCAAACTTTAGTAGCTATTACAAAACAGTATTCCAAAGTAATTTCTTTTCAGAATCTGTTTTCTTTTATTCTGTTGTCGCTCAGATTCTATTTTGACCTTGGTGTAGGAAATGAACACTCCTAAGATGCAGTAAGGGGAAAGCATGGTGACAACTCTTTCCATCACTTTATTTAGGCTGCAGAATGCTGAATCTCTGGATTGATTCAGGCCCTGTCTACTTCAGGATACTTGGTTTGGAGATTAAAACAAAACAAAACAAAAAATGGGGGGTGTATATAATAGTGCTTTATGAACAATCAGATGTGGTATGTAAATATTTTGTTTTCATCGATCCATGTTTTTGACATTGGATGATGAAAATAAACCAGGAAGATATTCCCCTTGCTGATGGTCCTGTTCTCCTGCTCTGTATGTGTGTGTGTGTGTGTGAGAGAGAGAGAGATGATTAAAAGCAATATCCTCTTGGGTGGGAGCCCTCCAAATTTAGGAGTTGCTCAGTAACTGCCACGTAGTGACAGAGAACCACAGAAAACCCAGGACACTCACACTCCTCTGTCCCCACAGTCTTGTCAGCACTCCAGAAGCAGAGCTTTTCAAATAGACGTGAAGAGCATCCATGCAGCGGGAGAGCTTGGCTTAACGAGCAGTGGGAACCAACTTTGTACTTGCCACCCAAGTTAAGAAATGAGACACAAATCAGCACCTTACGTGTGTTCCTTCTTACTGCAGTGCCTTCTTTATCTGAAGCCTAGCGTGTTCTTTGCTTATTCTCCAAGTTTTACTATCTTTACTTGTATCACAAGAATAGATCAGTTTTGCCTCTCTGAACTTCATACAAATGAAATTATACTACATTTTTCTGCAACTTCTTTCATTTAGCATTTTGTTCACAGTTTATTTTATGTGTAGGTGTAGCTCTCCCTCATTATAAGTTTTTGTTGGTATTCCATCCTGTGAATAAGCTTGATCTTTGTCAATTACAGTCTTGATGTCTATTTTGGTTTGTTTCTTGTTTGTTTGCTCTTAACAAATCCAGTTGCTAAGAGCATTGTGCAAACGTTCTTCTGCGGTATCCAATTAGAAGTGGAATTTCTGAGTCATGAGGCGTGGAAATATTCTACTGTAGAAAGATCAAAATCTGTTGTTTCCCACTGTTCCTCATCTGCACAGACTTTCTATTGCTACATAACTTTTGTCGTATGATTAGAATATAGGGAAATCTAATTGTGGCTTTGGTTTGCCATTTCTCTAAATACCAGAAAAGCTGAGAGTCTGTATGCTTTTAGGATGTTTGTTATTTTGCCATATCCTTGTGTGCAAGAGATTTTGAGTTTTTTGTGTATTCTAATGTAGGTGTTTTGTTGGGTATGTGTCTTGTACATGTCTTTTTTGGTTGTGGACCCTCCTTTTTCACTCTGGTATTCTTCAGATGACCCAAGGGTCTTACCTGTAATGTAGTTGAATTTATCAGACTGTTTTTTGTTGGTTTGTGTTTTTAGGAATTCTTGTTTTAAGAAATTCTTCCTTTTCTCTGAGGTTTTAAAAAATGTTGTGTATTCTAAACATTTTGATCTTGTAAGGTTTGACCGCAGTTCAGTCTCAGGTAATTTGGAACTGATCTTGGCCTATGTAAAGATCTTCTTTCATTTGTTTGATAATAAGTGGGTTCAGGGCTGAAAGTATTGAGTCCATTTTTTCCCCCCAGTAATATTTAGTGCCTGCTCTTTAAAAAAAAATTAGATATTGATTACGTGTAATGATGTTGTGGTGCCAAATCACACAGGGTAAATGTGGCTTACTAGTACATCATCATAGTCTCCTATCTTCCTCTTCCTCAGAAGTATCTTCACTATTGTTAGTCTTTTGCTTTTCCATTAAATGTTGGAATTATATTGTTGATTCCTGTGATGCAAACTTGTGGACTTTTGATGGCATTACAGCCAATGAATAGAGTTACAGCAAGTTGTCATTTATGGTACTCAGGATTTATATCCAAGAACATGGGAACATGGGATGCCCATCTCCTGGCATTAAAGGATTTTTTTTTTCACTAAGGTTTTTTACAGTTTTTTTGTTTTAAGTACTACTGTTTTCTAATGGATAGCTCTGATGTGCAGCATGAATAGGCTTGTTTATTCCATT